TGGAAGAGAGCGCGAGAGAGAGGGAGGAGAGAGGAACTATTTCCTTCCAAAACGTCCAACGGTGGACTCGCGGAGAGTGTAGATGTTGATGACGTGTCCTAATTCTCATCTCCTCCTGCTATTATTCGGATAGGGTTAATTACTGTAGACGTCCTTGAACTATGGCCCCAGTTGCAATTGGGTCCGTGAACTAAATTTCGTGGCAATTTGGTCCTTTAATTAGACAATAAGTTGCAATTAGGTCCTGCCGTAACAGAATCCGTCGAGTTTGATTGTGTGAATGACACGTGCTCTTGTTGTGAGGGTATATTCGAGTTTTCGCTGGGTGAGCTTGGGTTCTGTCAGGGAACAGTGTATGTGCGATTTTGGAGAGTCAAATCGCACCATGTATTGATTTCTTCTCCAGATCTAAGGAATCTCTCTTGCCATTCCATTATCACAAAGTATTATCCTTCTTCACATTCAGTTAAATATATTAAGCCAAAAAAAACACAAAGAGAAATCAATATACGATGTGTGGTGTTTGATGAGCACAAAATTAATACAAGTTTTATCCTTAAATTTATATTTGTTAGTATTTTCTTTTGTTTTATATAAATCTATTAAAGTATTTTTATTGTTTCTTTCCAATCTTTGTTTTTATATTTAATGAGTGGTTGTTTGTAGATATTAAGTGTCTTCCACCAATAGCATGTTGAGGAAAAGAAGTAAGTAATGTGTTGCAAGAAGAAAGTAAAGGATGAGAAGAAATATGTGCAGCCAAAGCCAAGGAAATTTGCTCGAGACAACTTGTGCAGCAGCAAATGCAATTGAAGATAAAACAAATGAAAAGAAGAAGCAATCAATTGCATGAATATACTCTAGGACATGCATGCAAAGCTTCCATCATTGAAGAAATAAAGAAAGAATGAATAAACAATGAAGGAGAAGTTCAAATTGACTACTTGCAACCAATGAATGCAAAGAAGAATGATGATGCTTGAGTTGTTATCTAGCTACAATTTGAACTAAGTTGCTGCAGTTTTTTTTATAAGATACGAGAGATGAGATGGAGCAAGTGGAGCAAGTGGAGCAATTGATAAGAAGGCTCAAAGATCTTTGTGAAACCAAAGTAAAGGAAGTAGGCTAAAGATGAGAAAGATATTTGGAAAAGTAAGCTACTTGATTATTATATAATTCAAGACTCCCTTTCTTTGGCTATAAATACAAGTTTTGAGCAAAGATCAAGAGATATATAGAGGAAGAAACACACGGCAAGAGATATAGAGAAAGAGTGAGGAAGAAAGAGAACAATGATGGAAAGGAAAGAACCAAGAGCTAATAACTCTTTTAAACTTGTTCTTCCTTTCCTAGTTCTCATTTAATTTATGTATTTTAGTTTCTTTGTTTTGTTTTAAATATTATTTATGTCTATTTAAATTACCTAACTAAGGTTGGATGAAACACCATTACTAAATAAAGTTCTAGTTTTTATTTTCAATTCTCAAATATTGTGGTGTTCAATGATTATAATTTTCACTTCACATGATTAATAGATTAAAATTCTTTTCACCACTTCTATCATGTATTGTGAGATATAACATGTATTTGTGGTAGTTAAGAGTTTGGATTAATCTATTAATTCATCCTTGGTTTATATTTCTAATTTACAAATTTCTTTGATATTTTGTTATTCAAATGAACTTTTTCACATAGGACGCTTAGGAAACTTTGATCCTTTGTAGTTAAATAATTTTGTTTACATATTATGCTTAGAATTTGTACTTATGAAGGGAAGGAAAATTTACTTATGATCTAAATTACAAGCTTAATTGATAAATCTTGAGAAAGCATTAGATTGATTTCTAGATTGCTACTCCATGGGAATTGAAAGATAAATAATTAGAATCTTATGGAATGATGGTGTGGATTCTAATACCTCATGGTTCCGTAGGCTAGCTTTTAATATAAGTGTGTAATTTTTATTAGTTTGATCCAAACTTAAGCTTTAGTGTGAATTTGTAGTATTTGTTCAAATGGAATTTGTAGTTTTCTTTTTAATTAATTGATGAAAGTTTGATAATCTATTTCATGGGTTCAATCATGTTTTTCCCATAGTGTAGTAAAAACTTTCATGCTTTTAAAAGAGAAGAGAATTACTAAAGATTAATAGAATTTTGATGAAGATTATTTTTTGATAGTTTGTTGCCAATGGTACAAGTTATGCTTAGAATACTTCTAAAGGAAATTAAAAAGAGCTTTAATTATTTTGAACAACTACAATGGAAAATATTTTGTGGATCAAATTATTAAGAGTTGCATGTTTATGTTAAAAGTGGAAACCTAATACCTTAGTTATTTTTCTCATAAATGTAAATCTTAATTTCAGTTTATTGTCATTTCTATATTTGTTTTATGCTTTATCTTATTTTATTTTCTTTTTGAACAAACAAATCACCATATGAATCAACTAGGTTGGCAATGAAATTAACTTGGGTGAAATTGGTTTTCTATCTTTACATGCAATCCCTTGGGTACGATCTCGCTCTTACACGCTTATGCTATATTCGATTCGTGCGCTTGCGAGTTTATAAATTTTAAAACACCTCTTTTGAGGCACAACATACTCACCTAATCCTCTAGGATATAACCTGATTTTTGTACTTGTTCATCTCTACTTATCAATAAAAGCTTTCGCCTTTTATTTTAAAAAAAATTAATAATAAAACTAGAGTGCAAGGGAGCAGACACATTATATTGACCAACTAACCTAACTCATGTATCAGTTTACTTTCCCTTTTTTTTTTAATATGTATTATTATGCTGGCAAAATTTGATTAACAAATTCAGCCTGCATGAGGTGATTGGTAATTGAAGTCAAACTGAATGCCAATTTCCAAATACATTCTTCACCATATGATATAATGAATTGGTCGAAAATTGTAATCAAAATGTCATACACCTTATTATCATAATTTCTCTAGTTACCTAGTACTCAATATTTTTATTTTTTGACAAGTAAGAACAATTAGGCGACAATGACTTTCCACCTTATATCTATCTCCTTCTCACCCTCTCATTACTTTTTATCCCACCTCTCTGCCTCTCTATCCTTTCTATTGTGGGATGAGATGACTTCCTTTTTGAGGTATTAAGTTATATAACCATTTTTAGTATTAGTGAGATAGATAAATTATACACCATTTAATTTTTATAAGCAAACCCGAAAAAGGACAGCTGATTAAATTACTTTAATGCCCTGTTGAGTGTTTTTGGTTTTTATTTATTTATGAAGTTTTGGGGTTAGGCTTGTTTTAAGAAATTGATGACAGTTTTGTAATTTATATGAAGTTCGAAACCTCTTTGTTATGTTGTAAATGAGTTTTGGGTTATTCGTTTTGTTAGTTCTTGAACTTAGACTCGATTTGCATTTAATTATGATTTTTCTTTTTTAGTTTTTAGGAATAAGAGCTAATTTTAAATTTAACTGAGGATAGAAATAAGATTTTTTAATTTTTAGTTTCTAATTTTTAATTATATTTTTTTAAGTAAAAGGAATATTCAGAAATTGGAAATTAAAAATAATACAAAAATATCATTTTACCCCTATATTTAATAGAAAAAAATTAACAAAATTGACGGTAGGACCATTTGTCAACGAAACTAAAGTTGAAGGACCATGAAAATGATTTTGGAAATTTAGGGACTCAAATGCAAATTAGGTCAAAGTTTAGGGACTAATAAAACGAATAACCCATGAGTTTTAGGTGTGTTTTTAAAGTCTATTTTATATAGAATTTTTTTTTTAATAATTTGGACCCCTACATTTGGCATAATAGTGAAATTCCCTTTTTTATTGGGTCTGCAAAAATGAGATTCATAAAACTCTAAGGCAAGCCCAAGAAGCCCAAAACAGACTTGAGAAGCAAAACAGAAAATCCAAGTGACGCCTTCAGCTACAGCTGGATTGCTCAGACAACAAATGAACAGTCAGGGAAAGAAAACTCTATCGGGGCTTGGCTGAGTGAGTTTGAAATAAGAAGCAAAGTCACAGCGACTATCGGGGCTGAAGAAGGAGAAGCTCATCATAACTCTACACAAAATACAAATTTGGCAGCACAGATTCTGATTGCTGCATTGATTCCGTACTCTCTACCAAGGTCGCTTTTAACCGCCTTTTTCTTTTTTTTTGTTGCTTTTTGGTCCTTTCAATTGAAACTGATTTTGGAGGATATATGGGTTTGTGGTTTTCTTTGCATTGTTTTGTGCCATTCGGAGATGGCTTTGATGTGATTTTGGGTTCGTTGTTGTCTCGATATACTGGATATTTTCATTATAGGTTTTGTTCTTTCCAATAAATTTAACTACTTTAACAATTCTATTTTGGGTTTGCATTGGAAGCATATATGAAAATTGGATATTTTGTTCTGCATGAATGCTGTTATTTTCTCAAATGGTGATTGGCATTCCGTAAAAAAAAAAATTCTGAAAGCTACTCCTTCCCCTAATGCCCATCAATTTCTCAGCTTTCTTTTCTGGTCTGTTTGCTTTTTCTTTGACTCTCTCTCTCTCTCTCTACTGAAGTTGATTATTTTATGAAAGTTCAATTATTATTATTTTTCCTTTACTTTCTCTAACAACTAATGTTTATACACAGAACATGAAATTGAAGAAAAGTTGAGCATTTGATGAAAGTTTGATTTTTTTTCTTTTTTCTTTTTCTTTCTTTATGAGTATGAAATGAAAGTTCTGTTGATGATGGTTTAAGTGGTTCTTTTCTTATTAGCACTAGTCTGAATGATTGTTTAAAACTAAATTCTTTAGCTAAAATCTGTTGGTTTTTGGCCACATATATTGGTTTAGATGCTTTCACAATTGGTCTTAACTACTATGTTGCTGACTCTTGTCGATGCTGTAGCTTCTGTGATTTTTATTCCTCATGTTTAGCATGACATTTCCGAATTTGGTTTTCCTTGTTTTTATTTATTCACATTGCTATTGAATGTCACTACATGCTTTACTTTTACTTTCATCAATTTGTAACTTGAGTTACAATTATTGAACCTGATATTTATGTATCGCAATATCAGTAAGAATTGTGGTTTCATAATGTAACAAATAAATAAAAAACCTCTCAGATGCCCAGCCTCCCGGACTTGAGAGGAGCGTGTGTGGAGAGGCTAGTGTGAAGTCATACTAAAAACATCATCAGAATCAGCACTATCACTCATGATTTCTTTATTTGTGTTTTATTTCTTTTGCTATATTAAGCTCATTTTTGTTAGTTTTTGTTTTTCATGCTAACTTCGCCTATCTAGGAAGATTTTTTTCTCCTATAATGTATTCATATACTGGGTTGAATCAGTAATTAATACTTTTTCTCATTTTTACAATATCAGATATGCAGCCCTTAGAGTTACATTAAGCAGAAGAATGACAGTATGATGTCTGAAGACGCTGGAGTAATGTTAGTAGTTTATGATGATCCATCAGATCAACGATCTTTGTCTTTGGATGAGACCAGCAGCACTGAGGAATCACCTGATGAGACCAGGCTTTCATTAGAGACCACGAATGATGTAATTCCATATATAGGACAAAGATTTTCTACTCATGATGCGGCTTATGAATACTATAGTGAATTTGCAAAGCAATGCGGATTCTCAATCCGAAGGCACCGCACAGAAGGCAAAGATGGGGTAGGAAAAGGACTTACTAGACGCTACTTTGTCTGTCATCGTGCTGGCAACACCCCAATTAAAACCTGCAATGAGAGGAAGCCCCAAAGGAATAGAAAGTCCTCCCGGTGTGGATGTCAAGCATACATGCGGATAAGCAAGACAACAGAATTAGGAGCACCAGAATGGCGTGTCACGGGCTTTGCAAACCATCATAATCATGAACTCTTAGAAGCAAACCAAGTTCGTTTTCTTCCTGCATACAGAACTATATCTGAGTCTGATAAGAGCCGGATACTTATGTTTGCCAAAACAGGAATTTCTGTGCAGCAAATGATGAGGCTCATGGAGCTTGAGAAATGTGTGCAACCAGGATATTTACCATTCACTGAAAAAGATGTGAGGAATTTACTCCAGACATTTAGGAAATTAGATCCGGAAGACGAGAGCATAGACTTGTTGAGAATGTGCAGAAATATCAAGGAGAAAGATCCTAACTTCAAATTTGAGTACACGCTTGACTCAGACCACAGATTAGAGAATATTGCCTGGTCGTATGCATCATCAGTCCAGTCATATGAGATATTTGGTGATGCAGTGGTGTTTGATACTACACATCGCTTAACTGCATTCGATATGCCACTCGGGATATGGGTTGGAATAAATAATTATGGCATGCCTTGCTTCTTTGGCTGCGTGCTTCTGCGAGAGGAAAGTTTAAGGTCGTTTTCATGGGCATTGAAGGTAATAGAGTGACTCTAATATACTCATTATCATTCTTCTTCAATCAATCTATCACATCACTCTTATATTGCACAGATGGATACCTAAGTTTAACTTGGTCTAACCAATTAATTACGATTCTCTTGTGTGACTTAACCAAAAGCCAGTGGAGCATGTGAGACTGTAAACTTAGATTCTGAATTGAATAGATGGCATCAATAGGATGGGAGGTGAGAGAACTATAAGGTGACGCCTTAAGGATTGGCCAGTCAGGTTTTGGCCATGCATAAGACATGTTGATTTGGTAATTGTGGTTCAAACTTCAAACAATGGACTGCATTTTTTTCTCTTTAAATAGAATGATTTTTTGGCAGTTTGTAGTACAAATTTTGGAGTGCTAGGAAGCATGTTTTTATCAGATTTATGGCAGTCAATTTGTATTTAGTTGGGAACTTTTCTTACTCCGTAGTAAATGCAGATGATCACACCCTTATGTGTGTTCAGTGCCTCTGTCAGTCTTTTCCAGATAGCCAGTTTGAACTAGAAACATATATGGATTGGAATCTTCTTATACTCTTGATGAATATCTGGCTTATGCAACATGTATTTTTTCATAAACTACTTCATTACTCCCAAATTTACTGTGGTTTTCTGTTTTGTATGGAAGGCATTCCTGAGCTTCATGTATGGGAGGGCACCACAGACAATATTAACTGACCAAAATATGTTTCTGAAAGAAGCAATAAGCATGGAAATGCCAACAACTAAACATGCACTTTGCATATGGATGATAGTGGCAAAGTTTCCGTCCTGGTTCAATGCTGTTTTGGGTGAACGTTACAATGAGTGGAAAAGTGAGTTTTATCGCATTTACAATTTGGAGTCCATAGAGGATTTTGAACTAGGATGGAGGGACTTGGTAAATTCTTTTGGGCTTCACTCTAACAGGCACATAGTCAACTTGTATGGCCTCCGCTCGCTGTGGGCACTACCATTCTTGAGAAGCCATTTCTTTGCAGGAATGACTACAATTGGACAGTCTAAGTCGATTAATGCATTCATCCAACGATTTTTGAGTGCACAGACCCGGCTTGCACATTTCGTCGAACAAGTATGGTGTCCTCTCTTTCAATTTGCAATAAAATTAGAATAGATTAATGGGAATAATTTTATATATATTTTTAGATATCCTTTACTCTTGTTTGGTCAAAAGTATTTGGTGAACTCTTACTATGATCCATTTTAATGTGTCTTGGTTGGTTAAATCAGAAGGTAACTTAGAGATGATATTACCAAATGAGGATTAATATTTCAATATCAGTTATGCTTTGTATTCAAGCTCTTTTCAATTCTATCTTGCCTAGTCCACTTGATATGTGGAGTTTGAATACTCTCTGCTGCTGGACTCATAAATATAGTCATGTCACCCAGGATTTTGTAGCACATCAGAACATGGAAATTTTTTGTGTTTTTTCATGAGTGACACACCAAAGCATGCATAATATAAAAAAACAACTGTAACAACTAAGAAGTGTTGAGCTACTACATTATGCTGCTTGTGGTCAATGTTTTATCTACCTTTGAGCTACCATATTATGCTGCTCGTGGTCAATGTTATTATAAAATTGCAAATTTACGGAGCCACCATTTTTTTTGGGTGAAGAGGAGGTCCCAAGTTCAAATCCTCACTCGCATATGTTACCTCTAATGTTGTCTTAGGTTCAGCAAATTTATACCATTTAAGTTATCTCTTTTGTTTGATGGAAAAGATTTTCTGTCCCCTATTATTTATTTGGTTGCATGAACAGGTTGCTGTTGCTGTGGATTTTAAAGATCAAGCTGGAGAACAACAAACAATGCAACAGAATCTCCAAAATATATCCCTGAAAACAGGAGCACCCATGGAATCCCATGCTGCCTCAATATTTACTCCTTATGCTTTCTCTAAGCTTCAAGAACAACTTGTTTTGGCTGCCCACTATGCATCTTTTGAGATGGAAGATGGTTTTCTTGTGCGACACCACACAAAAGCTGAGGGAGGTCGGAAAGTGTATTGGGTTCCACGGGAAGGTATTATAAGTTGCAGTTGCCATCACTTTGAGTTCTCTGGAATTCTCTGTCGGCATGCACTTCGAGTTCTCTCCACAGGAAATTGTTTTCAAATCCCTGAGAGATATCTTCCTGTCCGTTGGCGCCGTATCAGCATTCCTTCTGCAAAACTCCTTCAGAGTGCTCCAAGTGATCATGCAGAAAGAATACAGTTATTACAGAATATAGTATCAACTCTTGTAACAGAATCTGCCAAGTCGAGGGAGAGGCTAGATATAGCAACCGAGCAAGTCTCCATTCTCTTATCTCGTATACGAGAGCAGCCTGTTTCAGTGCAAAGTACAAGAGAGATTTCTTCAATGCATAGGAATATTTGATTCATAACAGTTAGCTTAGTCAGAATTCTCATAGAAGATGAAACTTGTCAAGATTTGCTAAAGAATGTAAGTCAGGCAGGCTAGGAAGCTAGAATCGGCATCAGGGTTTTGGGAGCTGGTATGTGGGATGAGGTTTGTTACTTGATCATTTTGTAGTTCTTTTGGTACATGCCATCATGGTTCTACAAGGCAATTGGTTTTGTTGGACATCATTTCATATGCCTTACTTATGATAGATGGCTTTCAGTGGGGATGTGTACAAAGAATATATATAGAATTGAAAGGTCCATATGTCTCTCCTTTTGTTTTTTGTATAAAACAAATTTCATCTTGCTGCAATTAGGATTCCAGAAAGAATGATTAAGTTTGTTGAAGCAATGGAAGAAGGATCAGTCGCAGTGGCTTTCTCCTTGTGTCCCCAAAATCCGTCAACCCACAACCCAAAATGACGTTTTTCCTTTTTGAGACATTGCAAGTCAACTCAACAAAACTCGGAATTACTATAAAAACTAAAAATGAAAATGGAAATATGACTACCTGGAATTCATGCCATATAACTCATCTAACAAATTGGGGTTTGGAAGTAGCGGCTAACCTATGAGTAAGATTTTGTTTTGATGCCTTAGGTTAGATTGAACTGCCAAATAAACTCTCCTTTGATACAAGCGATATTAGGGGAGCCGAAGTCAAGTCTAGGACATCATGTGCAGGGTAAATGCTTGTAAGCACTTGGGCTACAACTTACAAGCCCCTTATGCCAAATAAGCTCTCTTAATAAATAAAAATAAAAATAATAAAAAAAGGGTCAATTAAGCTCTTAAAGCAAATAACTTTAGGCCGAGTAACTCTACATTCGGCCCAAAAACTCACAGTTGAGCAAAAAAAGTTGGTGGTTGGTAGCCCATCATCAGCTGCTGCCGCGGCTGCTGCTGCGGAGCATTAACATTGTTGGATACTTTTGGAACTGATTCTTCAATTACCCAAATCTAACCTCTCAAGTCTCACCCAATAACTAAAAGGTGTGTTTCTATTATCTGTCCAATCTCTGCTTATAATTATTTTCCAAATCGAAAACCTATTTCCCCAATATCCCCAAATTTCATGCTTGATTTGATAATTCTATTTCTCTATATCGAAAATGTTTGTTGGGTTGGGTACTGTTTCTTTTTCTACGAACACAATGTCAAAATAAATATATATAAAAAAAATATTACAAAAAGGGTTGGTGTAGTTTTTGGCAGGGTGCTAGAGACGTTGAATCAATTGGGCGTTGAAGATGCATCCTCCATTAACGCTACACAAGCACCCCATGTGTGCAGAAGTGAGTTCTCCATCCCTTTTACCATCTTCATCCTTTTTTTATATTTTTTATTCTATTTTATTGATTATTTATCTCTTTATTATTGCATTCATACATACCCTTGAGTACCATTTTTCACCTAATGGGGTTTGGATTTGAAATTGGATCATCTTCATTTGTGTAGTTGAAGAATCATGAATCACTGTCTAAATTGTTTCATAGTCTCATACAATATATGTGTATGTATATGTACACCATGAATCGCTGTCCAATTGTGCAAACTGAACAGTTGTGTTTTGTGCTAACGCTTGGGGAGTCATCAAATGGGGCGATTGGGGTTGCTTGAACCCCCCAAATCTTGCACTTTCACCTCGACAATAACCTAATCTTCGCATCAAAGTGCTTGGTAAATCATGTGGTTTAACTCATAGAGGCTTGCCAGAGTTCAAGCCATATATAGTGTGTAATTTCAAATAGCAAAAAGAGGAAAGATTTGTGTAACCTGAACACCTATAGACAAATAGACAAGAGTGTATTGTTACAGGAGTTATGCAGATAGTTTTGAATGGTTGGATACAGTTAGGAGTTAGAACTTGTATGGGATTGAAGGAAGAAGGTTTTGACCACACAATTTCTTTTTAATACAGAAGAGAAGTCATATAAATGGCTGTCTTGGCATGCTGCTTTACCTCGATAAAAACTTCGATAGAGAATACTGTTAAGACTCTTACCTTGTGAGCTATTATTTGTGTTGTGATTGTTTGATAATTTCTGGTGTTAGAAGTGTCGATTTTAGCAATTCAAGTTACATTTAGCTGCAAGTTGATAGATATATCCTCTAATTTTATTTATGTTTCTTCTGTGTCTAGATCATCGAGGATTTTCAGAAGTGTCATGTAGATCATCCTATTGGCAAATTCTTTGGCGAATGTACAGATCTCAAAATAAAGCTTGACCGTTGTTTTCGGCAGGAAGTAAGTCTTGGTTATTTGGGTCTTTTTTCTTTCTGTTTTTTTGAAAAAATATGTTCTTGTAGAATCTTAAGGTTTACTTTCAATTTGTCCCACAGAAAGCTGTGAAGAGGAAGGTAAACTTTGAAGAGAGTAAGAAACTGAAGGAAAGGCTACAAGCTTTGAGGAAGGAAACTGCTGAGATAAGCACTGAGAATCCTGTGCAAGCTTAATGGAAAGCTGAGGCATTCTTTTATGGATGAAAAAAGGCCTAATATCAGAACTCCCAATATTTAATACAGATGGAATATAATGCCCTATCTTGCTACCACAGATTAGTGACCAGATGGGATACAAGTCGATGCCATATTGCCGATGGCATTGTCCTCTATTCGCTTTCATTTCATTGAACTTCAGTTACAATAGTTTCTTCAGTTGCAGGAATTAGTACTAAGACAACAGATGTGCAAGAGGGTGTTTCGAAAAAAGAAAAAGTTCAAAAATTTGAGGAATGTTTTTCCAAGAGAGATGGCTCCAACATATGATTCATTTTCAATATAAATTTCAGTGGAACTGCGGTTTATAATTATATGTCGAATACAATGAGTAGCTTCTTAAAATTCATTTCTGGTCCTCTTGAGATATGCCAAGGAAGTCTCTTGGGTTGCTTGCTCCAATTGCAACCCTAGTATTAAATATTGATATTATTGCCGATGTGGAGACTATTGAAAGATAGAAAAATTGATATCAACAGAAATTATATGTACGCCTTATAGCCTCTAATGCTTCAATGTCTTGGATTGCTGTAAACTTATGTCTAACTCAAAATTCACTAGAGGTTCCATCATTATTTTGGAAATAATTTTTTTTTTTAATTTTGAAAAAAGCTTTACCCGTATATCTTCAAAGGGATAGATGAAGAAATTTGGATATACCGAATTAGCGCACAAGGCCTTTTCTTCCGAACAACAAATATGGCCTTAGATCAAGAAATGTGGTAGCTGCCTGCATGCAATAAAATATACATATACCCAAAATGATGTTTGTACACGAACTTGATTGATTAGAGATTCTCCAATAAGTATTTTATGTTAAGGATTGGTTACATACTTATAATCTTGGCCGTTTGATTGCATTCACTAAATGTATTGGTAGTCTCTCAGATGCAATTCAACGGCCTAGATTAGAAGTACGTAACCAATCCTTAACTTAAATACTTATTGGAGAATGTCACTTGATTAGATACCTTAATCTTGACCATGAAATCAAAATATACCACCCAACTTTTGGCTTCCTATGAGGTACTTACATTGCGTCCCTACCATTACCATGTATGCTAAAACATACCTACAAATTAGTTTTCAAAAAAAGTTCCCTTCTATTTCTTTAGAAGATTTCTGTCGACGGTGCCTTTCAATTTGGACGTATACCTATATCTTTGTTCACCACTGACTAAGTACTACATCTACGTACCAGGAAAGTTTTGGCGAATAGCATCAGTAAGAAAGATTGCCTCTTCTTTGGTTTGACCCTCCCTCCAAACCTTGAATTTCAATTCACGATCACTAGAGACATTCCACTGCTTTAGCAATGACATTTTGAAGGGGCCCCTTGTGTCACCAAGAGGACTCACACAATGCCATAAAGCAGAATCTGGGTCTTCAAATGCTGGTGCTACAATTTCACCCTTTACATCTTCATCATCATCGCTTAACTCAATAAACTCAGCTTTGGATGTGCTTTGATTTTTCACTTTGTGTTGAACATCTTCTGGTTTACTTGGCCTTTCACCAACGATATCTGAACTACAATGGTGTGGCTTTTGGTGGCTGACATCAGGTTGGCCTTGAGAAGCAAAATCAAGAGATTTTTGTTCAAGTGCTTTAGGAATCAACACTTTAGAAGACTTTTTTTCCACATGAACATATTGGCGGTGCCTTCCATTATGAATACCACCTCGGACTTCTGGAGACAGAATACGAACTCTGGTCAGCTTTTCAGAAACAAATCTAGCAGAATTGTAGAATCATTGAAAGGGCGTCACCACTAACAAATCAACAACACAAAACGGTACATAAATTCACCGCATGAAGGAGAGAAAAAAAAAAACCTTACTCTAAGGCAAGGCATTCTAAACGAGGTTCGTATCATCAGATTGCATAGGCCCAGAGCTCTGATCCACAGGTGAATACAACTCAGATCAATGTAGTCCCCCAATGGCACATGTAGAGGATGTGAATGCACCAAGATAACCAAGTCTTTGTTATATTGCCTTAAAGTCCAGCTTTGATGTATCCCTAATACCTCTATGTTGGGCAGTGCATTTAGAAGGATGCATAGAACCAAGCATTGTGTTTAAGATGCTTTATATACTAAAGTTTTTGTGCTCATGCCTCGTAGGCTTCTCTGTGTGATATCAATCAATATTATAAGATGACAAAAGTAGAACATGAGAACAAATAAGTTGTAGGCGCCGCAGGCCATGCTGGTCTAAATCTTGGTTATCTGGGCACATCATGAGCACAACATGATTATTACAGGGTCAACATGAAGCAAGAATGGGCCTAATGCAAATGGGTTGGACTGGCACGGCACTGCCCATTTCACACCTCTAACTAATACAGTGCATCCATTTTAAGACTTATCTAGAGATTTACCTAAAGCTCTTTTAGACAATAAATATTTTCTTGGTTAACCAAATAGTCTGTTACTTCAATGTATGTCCTAAATGTAGGAGGGACGCGAGTGAAATTTCATTAGAGGAAAAGAAAAAGATTCTCTGCAAGTAACCTTGATTCAATCAAGCATTTGACTCAGTCACGTTGATTGAGTCCAGAATAGCAACATTTGAGTGATCCTATTGTCCTTGGTTGAGTGATTCCCAGGTTAAACATGCTACTGATCACACCCCTTTGAACCAATTTCATTCATCCCTACAACCCGTCCTAAACCAAAAACCATTTAGTGACTTGGCAAGCAGGGCAAGCAAGCACCGGCGCCTAGCTTCAGATAAAAGACAAGCAAGTCTCTTGTCACTCTTCCTTGCGATGCCTTCCTGAAGGTGAGGCTCCAAGGGGAGTTTACTTGCTCGACGGTAGGGAGAGGGGTGAGGCTTCTGTCAAAGTCACGGCAGTCAGACACTCCTTTTAGAGTATTGTTGTTCGATCTAGACTCTCTTTATTACACTAGATTTTGGGAAAAGATCCTAAGATTGCTACTCTTTACTTCTATGAGTCTATCAGGCTTCCAATTTATATAAAATACCTTCCTATCAGGTTTATAATTGCAGTTGAAACCGTCTTTTCATTTTGCAATTTCAATTTATATTTATACTGACTTCGCATAGAGGAAACCATAGGATATAAATGCTTTGCTTTCTATGTTATGTTTTGTTTTGAGAGAACATTATGTTTTAATATTAGTATGTACTGAGGTGAGGCCTTCTTTAATAGGTTTATCAAAGCATCAGGACTTATCATGGCTTTTAATTCTAGTGAAAACCTGAAAGATTCACTGAGTATTGTATATCCATGAGTATCTTTGTTGATGACAGGACTTGAGAGAACATTAGTTTTTTTATAAAACTTATATCCATGAGTATCTTTGTTGATGATAGTTCTTTTGTTTTAGAAAAAAAAGAAAAAGAAAAAGAAAAAGAAAATTACTGCCCCCACAAAGAGCCAGTTGTTCACATGACATGTTACCAAGTGAAGTGACCAGAAAGCGTCAAAGGAATAAGCACTATATGAAGGAAAAAAAGACTGGCGTAACAAAAACAGAATTTAGGAGGAAGTACAGTGGAAAAATGAATTCAGTTGTGTTGGTATAAATTTCATATTCATCAACCACCTCACTCCAAAGCAAGAGTAGAATTTCATAACGTCTAGAATTGCAAGATACTAAAAATGTTGTGAGAGGTACATCTAATACTTGCCACTCTCAGAATTCAATAGTCAAATGATTGAACTTATCATGATCTAGAAACATTGAGCATGCAAGCATGCCCAGATTCTCATTGATAAATGGAACCAAATAAGAACTTGAGGAAACAATATTGAATTTATAGTAAAGAATGAGAGCGTCACAAACCTGCTGGATCTGTTCTGCCATTTGGATAGCACAAGGTTCCATTGGCTAAATCAGTGCTGGGAGTTTGAGAGGGCCCTTTGATGGCTGATAAAGGCGAGCCATCATTTTCTTGTTTATCCTGGCTCGAAGAGTTCTCAAGAGCAGATCCAAATTTTGATATATCTGCAATTAGTTTCAGAACCTGTTCTTATGGTGTTTCAAGCAGCAGCTTCTTAACAATACTGAATCAATAAATTAGAATTAGAAGCTTAGCAAACCTGCTGGATCTATTCTGCCCTTTGGATAGTACAATGTTCCATTGGCTAAACCAGAGCTGAGAGTTTGAGAAGACCCTCTGAGTGCTTCAGGCAAGACATCATGTTCTCGTTTATCATGGCTCAGAGAATTCTTAGGAGTAGGTTCAAAATTTTCTCGTTTATCAGAGCTGGGAGTTTGAGAAGATCCTCTGAGTGCTTCAGGCAAGCCATCATGTTCTCGTTTATCATGGCTCGGAGAATTCTCAAGAGTAGGTTCAAAATTTTCTATATCTGCGATTACTTCCGGAACCTCATTTAACAACCGTAATTGTTCTGATGGCGTTTCAAGAAGCAGCTTCTTATCCATGTACTGAGCAAGCGTATGTAGGTCAAGGGTCACAGTTTTTTTATCTACATAAAATAGTACCTAGGCATAAGGGGAATGCCAAATTTAAGTTTCATCTTGCAAATAATCCAAATAGGTTTAATAATATAGACAATCTGATGAAGACCCAACCTGGAAATGTGCTAGAAACTGCAGTAGGACTACCCAAAGGGTGGAACTGATACCCTTTAAGCAGTAAGAGAACATATTTCTGAAAATAATATGATCGACAAAAACCCAAGACTAAGTTACATTTAGCTCCATCTCGACTTAATATAATACCTAATAACAACTAGCATACTTACTACTTCCCATTTGAAGGACATGCATTCAGAAGGTCACATAAGAAACTTAATAACTGACACAAAGTACCAAACGAAATATTAAATTGCATAAATGCAACAGACCCAAGGAAGTTATCAGAACTGTCCAGAATTTTGCGGTCAACTGGCTGCTTCACAATTTGAACTTCTCCCTAAATCTACGGGTTTCCACAATTATACGTGTATACAAGATATGTTATTATTCCAAAATCTTTACTGTGTTGATAGCATTAGTAAAAGGATATTCTCTCCTCCATCCTTTTTCATTTGCCTGGTCAATGCGCTTCTGCAACAGGGACAGCTCTCTTCCAATCCACTGAGATGTTTTTGACCAGATAATGCAAAGATGAACAGCAAAATCAACCGGCAAGCAAGAATGAGAAAATCCACAGATACCAGAAAGACAAGCAAATAATGGAGGGTATGAAAATCTAATAGAAAGAACAGATCATTGCACAATGCCTTATATTGCATTTGAGCTTAAAGATCTGTTCGATAAATCATTGGCATTGTGAGCATTCATGGTCAAGTAGTCATTTTCCAAATACTAGTTTAT